GCGGGGCTTGCACGGACCTGGCGATGAGGCAATTCAAGGAGAGGCGGAGGATGGCGAGAAACAGGAACATGGGGACGGCCCAGCCGTGCCACGCCGCGTACATGTAGACCTGTTAACACACACACACAAGTGTATAGAAGTGAGGCAATGTGTCTTTATATCGATAATAAAAAAACATGAATGGACACAAACAGATGAAGGTGAATTAATTTAATGTGACACGAATCAAGACAAAGACAAGTAATAAATCAATAGATTTAAATTAAGAAAATATTTAGCAAATGAGTATATTGACAATACATTTTCTGCTTCTTATTTTCATAAAACAAAATAACATTCTTTGTTTAATGAAGAAAACAATACTTCAGTTTCCTCATCAATCGCATGTGTGTGCGTGTAGGTGTGTGTAGGTGTGTGTGTGTAGGCGTGTGTGTGTGTCTGGACTCACAATGAAGGCGATGGCCGACGTGTAGACGGAGTTCCAGCTGGATAAGGCAGTAAGGTTCCTCTTGAAATTGGTCACAGGTTTGAATCCTCGTTCTGGAAACACAACAACGGACCAACCGACCAATCACAGACTGAAAGCTCAGCTTTGTGTCTTCTGTATTGTTTTAAATAAACGGTTAAATAAAGAATCTAAAGTGCTTCTCTGAGCGCAGGAGTATGTGCACACCCCCCTGTACTGAATGTGATGCCTTCAAGTACAATCGGAAAAGAAAAACTCACTGAGCCGTCTCATGTTTTCAGTCAACCTGTGGATCAGAATATATATTTTAGATTCCAGACAAATGCAGCTCTAACTCAACTGAACAACACACAGTAAAGAACAGCTTCAGTCACTGCGTCGGTAAACATCCTATCTACCTCTTGGCGCTCAGCGGCTCGTCCGCCTCCACCGTCTGCTCCTCCGGCTGGAAGCGGAAGTCCTCGATATAAACGCCAAAGCGGTCGTAAAGCCCCTTCAGGAAGCTGTCGGACAAAGTGTCCTTCTGTTTGTCTGAGGACGGAGAAGAAAAGAGGCCGATGGAGGTAAACGACCTGTTCGTTAGCATTTTATTAAAGTTTATACTCTGAGGTCTGGAACAGACTTAAAATGTCAGAGACATTTAGAAAGAAATATGGACAAATAAAACCCAAACTATGTTTTTACATGTAACAGAATTACTAACTAATGCAGGAACAAAAGTATTGATAAATTCATCTGTTACTCAGTGGTGGAGGAAGTATTCAGATCCTTTATTTCAGTCAAAGTACTAAAACCACACCGTAAAAATACTACAAGTAAAGCTCCAGCATTCAACATGTTAATTAAGTAGGAGTATATAAGTGTGACTGTTCTACTATTATATATTCTATAATTTGATTATTATTACTCATGTATTCATGTAAAAACAGGATGTTACTGTATTATAAGAAGGAAGGAGATGATACTGGATCGCATTACATTGTGTAGGTGTCCCTAATAAAGTGGTTGGTAAGTGTAAGAACCTCACCTGTGCTGGTGACTGCAGGTGGAGGAGGGGGCGGGGCTTTAGGCGTCTGAGAAGGTGAGTCTTCAGGTCTGTGAAGTGACAGAAACGGCCGCGTCAGCGAAGACGCAAACCCTCAAGAACAAGCTGCTCTGACCGACGTCTCCAACGAGCTCATCTAATAAAGTCACCTGGGTTTGATGACGTCGCTGATCTTCTGCTCCAGCTCCATGCACCTGCTGCGCTCCCTCTCCAGCTCCTGCTTCAGAGACTCCACGTTGGACTCATCCTTAAGTTTCCGCAGCTCCTCCTCTGAAACAGAGGATGATGATGATGGAGACAAAGTGAGTACCTCTGACCACTGACGTCACACCGTCACCGCCAGGTGAGAGGCGTTCAGGTGACATCTTCTGCTCTACATCTGGTCTCCTTCAGGGGGCTTTTCTTATTTTTTATTTTTTATCTGCAGGGAAATAGTGGTGCAGCAGTTGGAATGCAAAGGGGAGGGAATCACCAGAGACCCATCTTACTGCGATTCTAAACATTTTGCAATATGCCGAGTATTGCGAAAACGTACATTGCCATGTATTGCAATTCATAACCTTTTTCTCATTTGCAAATTATGCAATTTGTCAACATCTGTTATATCTACAGCACAAGAAATAACTCGGCACCATCCAGTGGACTGGAAACGCAACTATTACCAAAAGGTTTCATTTGCTTTATTAACAGTTTGATAATAAAAGTTGATACCTGGCGTCAAATATCGAGCAAATACTGCGATACTGTTTCTCCCGCACCTCTAACATATGTGGTGTAAATAAAACATAATACAAACAATAAAGATCATCAATAGAAAAGGTGCAAAAGCCAAATGTACACAATACCAGGAATGTAAACAGTAAATGGTTCACAGTAAGGTGAACATATAAAACAAAAAATAACAGTTAACGGTGAAGAACAACTGTTTCAATATACAAACAGGTGAATATTGTTGTAAGACAGACTTGGTGAACTTACCCTTTAATAGC